GGAAAAAGAAAAGAATTCTAGACCTAACTTTTAAGGACCCGTGAGCTGATTTTTATTTTTTCTTTTTTTTTTTTTTAAAGACATATATATATGTATTAAAAGACATTTCAGAAGTCAGGAAAGCTCATCTCCCGCCATCTAGAAAAAAATATCTTTGGAGTTCATTGATTAATTGAATCATTTTCAAGGGGGAGGGGGCTTGAATTTTGAAGAATTTTAACGTCATTAAAAGACACCACAGAAGTCGGGAAAGCTCATTTCCCGGCACCTAGGAATCAAAATTTTCCCGGGGAAGAACCACAGGATCTCCCCCCCAACCCTTTCTTTTTGGGATTTATCGATTCATGGAAAAACTACGTATGCAACTTACTCAATCTTTTTTATGTATGTATACACACATAAGGCCTATTTACTGTATTAATAATGGGAAAAAATTATCTGACCGTTTTCAAGAGTGGAAAACCTAGAATTTTGAAGAACTTAATTACTTTTAAGTTCTTCAAAATTCAAGGTGTTCCAGTCTTGAAAATTATTATAATGAATCAATGAACCCAGAGAAAGGGAGGTTCGAGTTCTTCCCGGGAAAATGTTGATTTCTAAATGGTGAACAATGAGATTTCCCGACTTCTGAAGTATTTTTTAATGACTTTAATTAAAAAGACACCTCAGAAGTCGAGAAAGCTCATTTCCCGCCTTCTAGGAATCAAATTTTTCCTGGGGAAGAACCCCCGGACCCCCCTTTCTTTTTGGGATTCATCGCTTCATGGAAAATTCGTATGCAACTACTCATTTTTTTTTTTTTAATGTTATATATGTATACACACATAAGCCCTATTTACTGTAATAACAATGGGGAAAAATTACCTGACCGTTTTCAAGATGGGAAAACCTTGAATTTTGAAGAACTTAAAAGTAATTAAAGACACGTCAGAAGTCGGAAAGCTCATTTCCCGCCATCTAGATATCGAAATTTTCTCGAAGGAGGAATGTTGACCCCCACCACCTAGATTTGATTCCATATCTGCATGATTCATATTCCCATTCATCTTATAAGCAGTGGCGTAACAGGCGGGGGCAGGTGGGCAGACTGTCCCCCCCTGACGGTTTTTACCGGGCTGACCAAGTCGTCATACCGGGCTAGGTAAGAAGAGAAAAGAAAGAGTGAAGAGGGAGGGAAAGAGAAAGAGAAAGAAGGGAAAAGAAAAAGAGAAGAGAAAAATAAAGACAAGAATAAAAAGAAAGATATAATGAACAGGTATCACAATACCTCGGCCTGTAAACCCTTCTCCACTTCAAAAAGTGTCCATAGCGCATTATTGATCTAAGCCGCCAGATATTCTCCGCAGTGGCGTAACCTCCGGGGGACAAGGGGAAAATATTCATCTGTGGAAAATCTTTCCCTTTTTCACCCGGGAAAGTGCCTGAAAACCTCAAATTTTAAATCGCATAATTTGTTGAGGTAGGCCAATTTCCCCCAAAAATTTGGACATTTTAGGAGTTTTGATCAATTCCGCCGAAATTAGAATTAAAAAAAACAAAAATTTTTCGCGCGCATTTTTTAATGTTGAAGCTTGTGCTTACTCTCCCTTGCCTTCAAGTTATAACACATAGTCCCCAACTCAAGAAAGAAAATTTAAGATAGATCGTTTTACCTAAAAGAGGGGCCTCAATGTGTAATGATGTTGAAAGAATATGTTTGTAATAAATAAAGCCATTAGGAATATGCTTATATTGAGTTTAAAAAAACGAGTGTGGCCATATATAACATAAGAGCATTTCTTGTTGAGGTAGCCCAATTTCCTCTAAAAATTGCACATTTTAGGGAGTTTTGATCAATTCCGACGAATTTAGAATTAAAAAAACACAAATTTTTCGCGCGCATTTTTTAATGTTAAAGCTTGTGCTTGCACCCCTTTTGCCTTCGAAGTTATAACACATAGTCCCAAACTCAAGAAAGAAAATTTAAGATAGATCGTTTTACCTAAAAGAAGGGCCTCAATGTGTAATGATGGTGAAAGAATAGGCCTATGATTGTAATAAATAAAACCACGATGAAAATGCTTATATTTAGTTTTCAAACACACGTACGTGTGTGGCCTATATTAATAATAAAATAAGCCCTATGTCGTATTGTTTTCTATATGGGGGTGGGGGTGGGTATCACACCAAGTCATAAATTACTAACCGGGAAAATTATTACCTTTGCCGCCCCGCCCGACCCAAGACCCCTGTTACGCGCCTGCTTATAAGTGGGGCCCCCAGTTTGAAAAACGTTCCGCCGGCCCTGTTAAACAACCAGTCTGCCAAAGTTATTGGTGTGAATTTAGGAACATTATTCAATAATTTTGAATAACTTAGCTCTCCTTGAAATCTGCAAGTACAACACATTTTGCAACAAGCACATTCATCGACCGACTGTGAGTGAATACACGGCTGCCGTCGTCGTGCTTTATTACACAGGCAGACACGACCAATGTACGTTTTATTCCCAAAATAGTAGGATTTATTCTCGTTATATTTCACATTTGGCATACACAATCGTAGAGAAAAGATGACGTTACATTCATAAACATGTAACATTCATAAACATGTAACAATGGTTTTTGTAAATTTAAATCACGCTCAACTTTACACACAAAGCGTGTACGAGACGTTTTAGTAAAGGCTATTTTCTTAAATTACTGTGTAAATCGCCTATCTTCGTGCGTTTGTTTTGGTTCGAATACCCTTAGCTGAACAGCGTCGATCGCCAATTAATTCTATTCACAAACAAGACGATCTCTGAGAGCTTCATTCAAATATGCTCCGAACTCACAATGTTCTGTTAATCGTCGTAACTCTGCAAGATAAGTGCTAATTACTGATTCACTCTCTCTATCACGCTTATGAAAACGCAACCGCTCGGCAATTACTAGTGGTTTTGGGGCTAAATGTTTCCTCAACATTTCCACTGGCAGCTACGGCTTGGTACTCGGTTTATCCGGTGCAATCAAATTTTTAAGTAGGTCATAGGTTTTAGGTCTATAAACTCAGGAATGCAGGTACTTTCCTTTCCTGTATGTTGTTAGCCTAAAAAGATTGTTCTAACCATTCCACGTAAGTAAGCCAACTCTCGCTGGTATCGTCGAATGGATCGATTCTGCCTATCAGTGCATTCGCCATTTTTACTATGTTGTGCTACAAAACTTTACATGAGTTGCCCACACAGATGGTGTATATTGACAATATGTGTATGTTTTGTATCGCGCAAATCAGTGATGATTAACTCAGTGTTTAATAAATAAGTGGATTTACGTAGATCCTCGTCGCCAGTTGTAGTGTATTCGCTCGGATAGAGCAGTCCAACAAGACATTATTGTAACTCAACCATTTTAATACAACAAAACGTATGCCCGCCGGTTCGCATATAATTAGCTCCGCGCGTATTGTACTAATTAGCATATAACATAAACAATAATAGTAGCAAGCCTATACTCAAATATGCTACACTCCTCACCCTATAAACTTGCATGTGCAAAACTCTTAAACATCAATAACAGTAACATCAAATTTCATCTAAAATGATAACCTATCTGGAGATTTACGCATGCGCAGTGGATAGCGGCGTTCAGGTTTGTCAGGACTTGCTACATTAGAACAATCAGTAGATTCCGTAGGGGATACGTATGTACGTGTCTCATTAAGAAGAGGGGGTTCTATAAGTGGTGGGGGCGCGTTAAGAATGACAAAATATTCTCTGTATCTACTGGAACCGAGCCACATAGCTTGTATTCCACTATTTGCATTCACACCTGGGCTGTGTATATATTGCCTTGGTTTGGCTCTGTAATCATTAGTGGCCGTGGGACTATAGTTTGGGCCTTACCTAAGCTGGTCGAACGTCTTGTTTGGGTCTATACCCTAGCTGCACTGATAGCCTATAAAGGCTATTGTTTATTAACCATGACAACCTTGCCTCAACATGGAATAACCCCTATTATATTAATCCAGTTGTTAACTTGATATACATCCTTTGGGAAATAACACATAACCTATACTGGAGGTTTCTAGGATTTAATGACGGCGCTGGAATCAACCAGTGAAAATATGCAAACACATCTTGGTTACCCGGATGCGACTATAGTTTAAAATAGTCTATATAAGATAGTTTATTCTCGTTTATAGTATACATATAAATATATCCATCGGAGTACATAGGCCTACTTCCACCCTGTACCTGAATAACGAATAATATACGCAGGGCATTGGCGACTTCATTATTTTCTCTTATTGTATCACAGATAGTCTGTTGGTAAGTAGACCACGTTAAAGTACCCTCAGTATTGCATACGGCGAATGTTGTATGCTATCATTATTTTCTGTGGTATGTATGCTTAGCATAATTTAAAGAGTTACAACACTAGTCGAAACCTGGGGCCTTCCTCTTTAAAGCAATACACAAAATTGGCTTGCTATTGGGTTTTTTTGTGATCGTTTGGTACTAAGGTACTCAGAGATGTATCCTTTTTCAAAAACACAGGTAAAAACGTAGACAGAGGCACGCAGATAAAGATTGTATAAAGCACCCCCTCTTCTGCATTCGCCCCTGGAATCTATGTAAGGAGACAAAAGAATTTATTTAAATGAGAACGAACATGGTCTTCCAAATACACGGGGCGCCAAGCGACACACTACCTGTTCTGTCATACAAAACCATGTATATAAGGGACCATTTTTTTTTGTAAAATACTAAAGTTATTCTGTCTTTACAAAACATATATTGTAAAAGACAAAACCATGTTTGTCTGTACAAAACATGTTTTGTAATAGACAAAACCATGTTTGTCTGTACAAAACAAGTTTTGTAAAAAGACAAAACGATATTTGTACAAAACGTGTTTAAAGTTTTGTAATAGACAAAACATGTTTTGTAATAGACAAAACCATGTTTGTCCGTACAAAACATGTTTTGTAAATACAAAACCATGTTTGTCAGTACAAAACATTTTTTGTAAAAGACCAAACTATGTTTGTCCATGGTTTTTCTGTACAAAACATGTTTTGTAAAGACAAAACCATGTTTGTCTGTACAAAACATGTTTTGTAAAAACAAAACCAGTTTGTCTATACAAAACATGTTTTGTTATAGACAAAACATGTTTTGTAAAGACAAAACCATGTTCGTCTGTACAAAACATGTTTTTGTAAAAGACAAAAACCATGTTTGCCTGTAAAGGCAAAACCATGTTTGTTAAGACAAAAACCGTGTTTGTTTGTACAAAACATGTTTTGTAAATGACAAAACCATGTTTGTCAATACAAAACATGTTTTGTGAAGACAAAACCATGTTTGTCTATACAAAACATGTTTTGTGAGGACAAAATCTTGTTTGTGTGTACAAAACATGGTTTGTAAATGACAAAACCATGTTTGTCTATACAAAACATGTTTTTTTTATAGACAAAACCATGTTTGTATATACAAAACATGTTTTGTAAAAGACAAAACCATGTTTGACTTTTACAAAACGTGTTTTGTAAGTTCGGCTTTGGGGCGCCAAACGACACACTATCTTTTTCGTCATGTTTGTAGGGGACAGACATGGTTTTTTTCTCTTACAAAACACGTTTTGTAAAAGACAAACATGGTTTTGTCGTTCACTCAAACACAAAACATGTTTTGTCGCTTACGAAACACGTTTTGTAAAAGACAAAAATGGTTTTGTCTTTTACAAAACATGTTTTGTAAAAGACAAAACATGTTCCGTATATTCATGAGGGTTTTGTATATTCATGAAGGTTCCGTATATTCATGAGGGGGAAGAGTCAATTAAACGTGTGATTGAGATAGTGAAGAAATGTGAATCTTCCACACCCCGCCGCGTTGCCCATCACAAGAGATAATTAGTTTGGCATGGTATGGTGTAGCTACCAAAATATAGGCTAGCATTATTGACCAATATGAGCTTGGCCACCTATACGAGGCCTATACTAGGATTATCACCCCTAGGATAAGCTAGGTGGGATTCATGCTAAGTAGCTAGTACTATAGGAAGGTAGAGTGGGGAACCAGGCCCGTAACCGGGGGGGGGGGGGGTTTATGGTTCGGGAGAACCCTCCTTTTCTAGCAAACCTCCCTCATTTCTGGCAAACCCCCCTCTTCAGATTTCCCAAATAAGTCCTCCAACCCACCTGGTGCACTGCAACCCTCCTTTTCTAACAAACCTCATCTTTATAGACTGTAGCAACTTTTAATACAAGTTTCAAGATGGAACTCTTATTTACTCTGTATTATTTTATATATATTGTAATTATTTATATTTTTATTTATATATTTATTTATATATTTGTTTGTATATTTATTTATATATTAATATTTATATATATATATATATATATTTATATATTTATTTGTATATGTATTTATATATATTTATATATTTATATATATTTATATGTTTATATATTTATTTATTTATATAATTATTTAAATTTTTGTTTATATAATGTTTGTATATTTATTTGTATATATATATATATATATATATACATGATTTATATATATTACTATGTTCATACATTTATTTATATATATATATATATATTTATTTATATATTTATATATACACAAATATTAATATATTGATTAATATATTTATTTTTATATATTTATCCAAAAGTGTATGTAATGCGCATGACTGGACTATACAGACAAAGCTCCCCGGCAGGGTTGCCATTTGGCCTTTTTGACGGCCAGATTCCTCAAATCTGGCCTTATGAAAAATTGCCTGGCCGTAACGTTTGAAAAGTCACGGCCAAACTATATTTGGCCGAATTTTACATTTTTTTTTCAATATAGGCCTAATATAACGTAGATTTGTTTTGGATATGTTGTTTTTGTTAGCTTAAATTCTATATTTGATTCAATCGTGTACCTTTGTTTGTATTTGCACTAAACACTTAATCTATGTTCCCCCTTTAGCCGAATTGACGTAAGAGGGTTTATTTTAAAAATAACAGTTACATTTAATAATGTAAATTGTTTAGATGAAATATATACATTTTGTATGAAGTTTATCCTCGTTTAAGCTTTATGAAGACAGTTCAATGCAAGTTTGTACCATTTACTGTGACGTGTGTCTTTGTATATGTTCCATCCTAGTGGACGTTCTATCTCTTTTGGATTTCTTTTGAATATAAATTAAGTACTGTACTTTAATTAAATTATTGCCCACTTGAATTATATAGCCCTAGGTGCTGCAGTGTTCTTTATACAGAGCGTCATATATCAAATGCTCGATGTGATCATTCGCGTCCGATGGCACCTCCAATTTCAAGCAATTGTGTTGCAGAGACTTCGAAGTTACCCTGGAGTTAGCTGGTTGCATATGAGAATGAAGAAGATAATTCTGATAGCAACATTGATTTATTGCTTTAAGTGCTGCGACAATAACATTCAGATGCGAAAACGTTTAGATAAAAAGTATTGATTAAATATTAAATAGTGTTGTTTTAACGCCAGTTTGTGTTACCTAACTATGTCACTTAATTCATTTTAATTAAAGAGAGCCACGGATTTGACAATAACAGGCCCTTAAAATTTTTGCTATAGATCGACTACAATGTACCTTAATATTTAATTCATTTATATCAAATTTAGATCAAACTTAATAATGTGATTTTAAATAGCGGGTTTATTTGTGGGGGGGGGGGGGGGGGTGAGAAAACAAGAAAGAATTGATCGCCCAAACGCATCAGGTTATTCGGGAGAAAACAAAAATTTCCTCTAAGATGGTGTTATCTTGATCGGATCCACTTTCGCCCCCTCCCCTCCCCTTTTTCGCCCCCGGCATCTCTGGATTCGCCCCTGAATTGGCCTACATGCCAGCAACTAAACATAGGCTCTTTAACACGTTGGCTGCCAGCGACGAGTATACTCGCCCACATGGTGTTACTGAGGGCGCCGGGAACGAGTATACTCCTCAAAATCGGGAGAACATTCTAGCGTTTATAACTTCTTTATTATACATTGTAGAACCACAGATTTAACGGCTGGTTGTTCGGGGAAGATACACCTTGACGATAACGTACAAATGACATATGTATGTTTGTTGTATTATGTTGCCGGTAGTACACTCGTGCGGTACAAGTGGGGGCGCCCTTTGAACATATACCAACCCATGCAAAAATCGGACGAGATAACTCGCACTTGGCATAGTCAGTAAAAAGTTCTATCACAGTGCCATCGACGAGTATACTCGCCCCCTAATTTTTTCCCGCCAATTTATTAGACACTTCATTTTGATGATATATGACTGGATAAAATTTCAAAAAAGTATGTTTGTACATGTAAACTTGTTTTGGCACACGGGAAGGAACCTTAAAAAAAAGGTCTGGCAGCCAACGACTATAAGGAAATATATTGTTTACAGTACCTGCAACAAGGTGCTAAACAATAGTGGTTATTGAAAAGGATCACATAATAATGCTGACCATCCTTTCTTGTGATTATTAAAATTGGTGAACAGTACGTAGAGGCCTACATTGTTCTCCTTTTGTGCTTTTAATTTCATATCAAAATACATAATTATTACTACTTTACTGTACATTAAAAAAAAAACAGGAATATATGCAGTCAGCATTATTCCACAACCTTGTATACTAGGATGTCATCATACACACTAGCATATATTATACTATGGCCAGTCTTACATGTAGTCTTAATCTATGCGATTTGAAAATATTTTGACAGAACATCCTTAGATTCTAACCAAACCAGTTTCAAACTCTATTACATTCAGAGCAGAAAGTGTTGTCCTTACGTTTCCAGGCAGTGGTTCTTGCAGGCTTAGCCTAGACCATGCCCTACAGTGTATCTACTGTAAATAAATGTAGCAGCACATACAGGTCTATGTGTTGAATATTAGCCCAGGTTCTAGATAGTGTAGCAGAACGTTTAATGTTGTAACAGCGATTGCAAGATTGTAATAAATTTCAAATTAGGATGAGTTTTTTGGGGGTGAGATAGCCAGAGGCCTGCATATATCTTAATTAGGCAAACGTCGTTGGTTGGGGGTGCGTACCTTTGGTCTGAAGGGTCATTGGTCCGAAGGCCCATTGGTCCGAAGGGTCTTTGGTCCGAAGGCCCATTGGTCCGAAGGCCCGTTGGTCTGAAGGTCCATTGGTCTGAAGGCACGTTGGTCCGAATTAGTGACCCTTTTTTCCAGGAATGCAGATAATACGGCAATAAAACAATTCCTTACAATTTATGGGGTAAATTAAGAAAGCTCACTTTCTCAGTATTCAAAATAATTTCCCTAACAACATATCAGCCAAGTAAAAAATTACTAGTTTCTTGCCACCTCCCACATCCATTTTCGCTGTTTAATCATTATATATATATAAGAGACAGACTATGATACGAATCATATCTAGTGCTTCTTTTATTTGCTTTTATGCACTTGTCAATTGTAGTCTCCCCCCCCCCGGACCCGGGCCTAACGGGGACTTAGCCGGGGATGAAATTTCCAAAACGGTTACATGCATGTAAAAGTCCCGGCTACCTCCCGGCAATGCGGGGCACCATTTTAACGTACATCCCCGGCCACTTAACGCCGTACACACCCGATACTGTGGCTACTCTAACATGTAAAATTCCCGGGCCTTTCGAGGCTTGTTACATCTACGGGTAAATTGTAGGTACGTCCCGGCCCTACGGGGACAAAACTATCCCCGGCACAGTCCCGCCTAGTGCCCCGCTATGGGCCGGGTCGCGGGAGGCCGAGACTGCAACTGACAAGTGCAATAATGTGCTGTGGCGGTACTACAGGATGGCGGTACTACAAAACACGTTTTGTAAAAGACAAACCATCTTTGTCTTTTACAAAACGTGTTTTGTAAGCGACAAAACATGTTTTGTGTTTGAGTGAACGACAAAACCAAGTTTGTCTTTTACAAAACGTGTATAGACAAACATGGTTTTGTCATTTACAAAACATGTTTTGTACAGACAAACATGGTTTTGTCTTCACAAACATGGTTTTGTCTTTACAAAACATGTTTTGTACAGACAAACGTGGTTTTGTCTTTACAAAACATGTTTTGTACAGACAAACATGGTTTTGTCTTTTACAAAACATGTTTTCTACAGACAATCATGGTTTTGTCTATTACAAAACATTGTTTATACAGACTAGACAAACATGGTTTTATCTTTTACAAAATATGTTTTGTAAAGACAGAATAATTTTCGTATTACAAAACATGATTTGTCCCGAGAAACATGTTTTTGTATGACAGAACAGGTAGTGTGTCGTTTGGCGCCCCGTATCAAATTATATCTTAACATTTCAGTTATTTATGGGGCCGAAGATTACTACCAATATGTCAGACGATCAGGTACGCGTTATGTTATGGATGGTTCCACGCAGTCTTGCAACGGCAGTTCTGAGGTCCATGTCTAATCTTGACAACGTCAAACTTATCAACGAGCCATTCGTCTGCGCGGCGTCTCTAGGCCCTGATCGCGTGACAAGTTGGAATGATGAAGCCATCAAAATCCTCGACAAGACCCTGGAGTCTTTGGCTGGAGACGCTAGTGACCATAAGCAGTACACTTTCAGTTGGGTGAAAGAATCTCTGTTAGAAGCTCCTTATACAGGAAAGGATGTGGTATTTTGTAAAGACACTTCGGCTTCTCTTGTAGGAAAACTTAATTGTATTCCAAAAGGCTATCGTCACACATTCATCATACGTCACCCAAACAAGGTTTACAAGTCATGGAAAGATGTTGTGACAAAATTAGCAGCGGGTGAACAGGAATCCCTAGGTCTAGACACCATGTTGAAAATGTCTGGCGCTGAGGGATATGGTTACGAAGAGCATTATAGATTATATGAGCATGTTATATCGATGGGGATTGAAACTGATCCTGTTATCATTGACGCAGACGACCTACAAACCAACCCCGAAGGAACGCTTCGAAAGTACTGCGAGGCTGTCGGTATCAAATACTCTGACAAACTTTTGTCGTGGGCAGCCAATCAAGATGCAGCCGAGGATTGGTCGATGGCCGAACTTCAGCTAAAGGGTCACAAGATGGTGGGTACATACACAGCAGCGTTTGAGAGTGTAGGCTTCAAAAAAGCCGACAACATGGACCCACCAGCCCGCTCCGAGCTTTCAGATGATATATTGAAATGCGTGGATTATGCAATGCCTTTCTACGAGAAAATGCTTGCTAAAAAAATTATCTCCATAGATAATAGTACCCATCGTGTACGGATTTCCTGCACTTAATAAATTAAGTGTTTCATGTTATGTGTTATGTATCCAAAATAGTACTATCATATTATGAATATTCATGTTTGCCATTATGAAAGCATTATATTGATAAAAATGCGTTTGTATCAATAAATAGTGAAACTGAAACGTTAATGATTAATATACAAACAATGATCATGCATGACATATCGTTTTAATGAGGCATATAACCTAAGCTAGAATACAAAGTAATTTCATTTTTTATAGATATTTAAATACTATGTTTTATTCTGGCTGGAATTTTTTTTTTATCAAGCAGTTTTTCATTAATTGTAAAAAAAAATCCAAAATTGTATAAAATTTATCTTTGAAGAATTGTTATTTCACTTTGTGTTATTTTCAATATGTACAATATTACATTTGCTTTCAAATAATTATGTGTCTGAATAGTCCTACAGTAAAAAAATAGTAGAATCTATCAATTTTGAAACGCGCCCGTTGTAAATGGCTTGTCAAAAGGTTATCTACATTGTACTTTGAAAATATATAATGCGATTTTACGGCCGTAAGGAGAGCCTCGGGACGCATTTGTGATCTTCAAATAGATAGACTTTTATAATTGTAAAATATTAGTAGAATCTATCAATTTTGAAACGCGCCCGTTGTAAATGGCTTGTCAAAAGGTTATCTACATTGTACTTTGAAAATATATAATGCGATTTTTCGGCCGTAAGGAGAGCCTCGGGACCCATTTGTGATCTTCAAATAGATAGACTTTTATAATTGTAACTATTAATGTACTAAAATGATATGCGTTTCCTCGTGCCAAATAAGGTCAAAGGCAACAAAACTAAACCGTTAAAAGCATGTTATTGAAATGTGATTGTTTCAGAGCTTCTTAAATTAAAGGTATCTAATTAGCTAACTCGTTGTTTAGCATAAGCGTTATTACTTGATGACGTGGGACACGGCAAAACTTGTCGTTCATAAGTTTCTTTTAGGTAAAACGATCTATCTTAAATTTTCTTTCTTGAGTTTGGGACTATTATGTGTTTAAATAACTTAGAAGGTTAACCCTAAAAAGCCTAAAAAAATGTTTTGTTATTAATTCTAATTTTGTCGGAATTGATCGAAACTCCCAAAAATGTGCAATTTTTAGATGAAATTGGCCTACTTTGACAAGAAATGCGAGATTTTTAGGCAGTTTCCAGGGGGTGAAAAGGGCATCTTCAAGGGGTGGAGAAAGGTTTTCCACAGATATATATTTTCCCCTTGTCTCCCGGTGGTACGCCACTGCAAAGAATATCTGGCGGCTTTGATCAAAGGAGCTATGGACACTTTTTGAAATAAAGGATGGGTTGCAAGGTGTTGTGAGTCTGGTCATTATGATAATATCTTCCTTTTTATTCTTGTCTTTATTTTTCTCTTCTCTTTCTCATTTCCTTTTTCCTTTCCTTTCCACTGTTACTGGAAAGGGATTATCCCGGTAAAGACGTTGTGTTCTGTAAAGACATGTCTCAACCAGTAGCAGCCAACTATGACCTCATTCCAAGTGGATATCGTCACACGTTTATGATACGTCATCCTCTAAAGCTATATAAATTGGAATAAGATATTCTCATGCCTTAGTATGTCGCCGGATTCTCCGCGTATAGACGAGGTTTTAGAGATGTCGGGATCCAAAGCCTATGCGTACAGAGACCACTTTCAACTATACGAGCATTGATATCAAGTGGAATTGAACGAGAATCGATTATAATTGATTCAGACGATTTGCAATCTAATCTAGAAGGCATCCTTCGAAAGTTCTGCAAGACTCTGGGAATCTACACTGACAAGCTACTCTCTTGGGAGGCGGGTGATGGTGTTGTTAAGGATTGGGCTGCATCGAAGTTACAGCTACAGGGTAACAAAGTTCTGGGGGTTTATCAGAATGCCTTCGACAGCACCTGCCGCAACATTCCGAGCTGAATGAATCTGTTCTAAAGTGCGTTGACGCAGCCATGCCAATATATCAGAAAATGCACAACAAGCGTTGCGTTGGAGATTTATAACATTTAATATTGTTGTTTAGTATTTTTTTTACATAAATCGCCTTGTAATATAGGTTTTATTAGTTTCATTTTAATATTTATTAACATGTAATAACAAATAATTAAATAAGAATAAGATGTATTTGTATATGTATTCATATGCATTGTGTCTTTATTAATAGGGTATGTTACAACAAAATTTATAATGGGTAATAGAATGGACGAAGATATAAAGTAAGTATATTGTCTCTTATACACATCTAGATGTGTATAAGAGACAGGATTAATATACAAACAATGATCATGCATGACATACCTGTGTGTCTTTTTTGATATGTTTGAAATAGAAATAAAAAATATATAAAAGGAAGAGTTTTCTCTTATAATTGATGCTTTAAATATCCGTAATTCTCTATAACGTGTATTTTCTTAAAACTGCCACATCTTCCCCTTCTCGGTGTTTCATTTTGCTTCCGTTTATTTGTCGAATAAATATTAAAAATGAAATGATACACTACAATAGAGAAGAGATAAATACGTAAACGTGTATTATAATAGGGTCTATATGAAATATAGATTAAAGGTTTTTAAACTTAAAAGACAAATGTTTATTCATATAATCAAATAATACTTTATATTTAATTATATGAATAAACATAGTTGTCTTTTAATTTTATAATACAGTAATTGGAATAAAATTGACCACCATGACCTTAACATGTTTGTTTACTGTTAAGTAGTTTTGCTAAAGATAGGCAACGTTGCTAGAGAGGCAACGTTTTGGTATCGTATATGGAGTCAATGTGAGAAACCACGTTCTGGATATATTTACAGCTGCTACAAGTATGCAAAAAAGTTTATAGAAATTGCTGTAGAAATGCCATAAAACAAGTTGAATCTCAGAAATGTAATACTTTAAATAGATTACACAGGATTAAAAACCCAAGGAAATTTTGGAAAAGTATCAAAGACTCGAAAAATATTAAAATATAAGTCCATTAGCAACTCTAAACTCACTTTTTTTGTAAATAAGTTTGAAGCTGGGGTCTTTCGATAAAAAGATAACAGCGTGAAAGGGATTCTATCCAGTTCAGTCTATTCCACCCCAGGACCTGATGGTATTTCTGTCAAACATCTCAAATACGGTTTAGGCTCCAACTTACCACTTATAATTGCAAACCTATTGAATATTTGCGTTAAGTATGGGGTCATCCCAAAAAGGTTTCGTGAGGGTACCCTAATCCCTATTATGAAAAAGAACATTCTTGATCCATCAGCTGCAAATTATATAGACCCATTATTGTATCAAATACTCTATCTAAACTATTTGAGTTGTGCCTGCTTGATGTTTTGACGTTAACTTTGATCCATCTCAATATGGTTTCGTAAACGGTAGAGGTACCGCGATTGCGGCTGCCACAGTTAACAACGTGTTTACATACTGCAACAATCAAGGGTCAAATGTTTACTCTTGTTCCCTCGATACCGAAGGGGCATTTTATTAATTACTCATTCTATAATATTTTATAAACTTAGCAGTTTCTAATAGAAAGTAAAATGCTGCGAGTATGCAATTCATGTAAATACTAATAGATACTTCAGTACATAAGGGTGTACTGATTTTTAGTTTCAGTATTAAAAGTTGGTAGAAATGTATGATTTGGTGGCTTATAAAAAAAGATTTCAAAAATTTGGTTTACAATGCTACAAAACAACATAATAATATACTAATAGACATGTTAGTAGTCGATCTTGTTTTATTTTTAACCACAATATGCTTCACAGTATTTAAATATGTAAAAAAAATTTATTCACAATAGCCTTCACAGTATTTAAATCTGTTTTAACAGAAAAATATTTACAAATTTTAATATTTTCTCAATATTTAAAACTGTTTAAAAAAAGTGGCTAAATGAAGAACATGCCTCACAGAAATTAAATCTGTTAAAAAATGGTTTATACATATCGTGCTCTTCAGTATTAATCTCTTTAAATACAATAATGCTTTATCTACAATATGCTTTTTAATTTTTTAAATAAATGCTTTATTCACAATATGCTTTTCAGTATTAAATTTAAATAAATGCTTTTTAATATTTAAAATTGTTTAAACACTACAGTATTTAAACCGGTTTCGAAATAGTATCTTCATCAGGTAAATGACCTAATCTCAGATCATTTCGGCCGATGACATCCGATGACATGTACCCTTTGTTGGTATTTGAGGTATTTTCCGCGGGGTCCTCTGTTCCCTGGGTTAGTGTAGAAGGTCATCGTAATTATTATGTGATACCTTGTAGGCTCCTTATCTCCATTTATCTAAACGAAAACATGCAACACCATCAAGCTCTAAACTGACAATGACCTGGATTGTGTGCAACCACCAAAAACCTACAAACAGAAATATATGTGTAAATTAACATAAGATTGAACCACAACATTTGTAACCAAATTAACACATAAAAGCTGTTTTACTAACATATTCAATATAATTATCGATTACTATTATTTTATGAGATATTTTATTAGATGTTGATTTATTAGTAAGATATTTGGATATCAATATACACCTACCTCCAAATATTATATTAGGCCTAGCCTCAAATAGAAGAGACTAGCAAGGCCTTCAACCTAATTAATTATAAGGCCAACCATAACTAGCCTAAAATACTCATAAACAGGACACAATCACACTCTTATAGAAACAAAATTATGAGTGACCATAATCAACAGTATAATAGCAATACGGACACGTAGTGTTTGAAAATACAGTACGGTACTTACCAAATCAATTTCACAGGACACATGTCAAACTGAGAAACTAACTATATACATGTGCAACCAACAATCTGCAAACAAAAGTACATGATTGTGTAAATTAATGTAAGATTGAAGCGCAATATTTGTTACCAAATTCACACATAAAATCTGTTTTACTAACATATATATTCAATATAATTATCGATTACTATTATTTTATTCGATATTTTATTAGATGCTGATTTATTAGTAAGATATTTGGACATCAAAATATATACGGTACCTAAGTATAATCATGGAAAAAAATATTTATCGCTACAAAATTACAATATGGCGTCTATGTACCTGTACATGATTGTGTAAATTAACTTAAGATTGAAGCGCAATATTTGTTACCAAATTCACACATAAAAGCTATTTTACTAATATATTCAATATAATTACCGATTACTATTATTTTAGTCGATATTTTATTAGATGTTGATTAATTAGTAAGATATTTGGAGATCAAAATATACACCTACCTCCTAAAGTATAATCATAGAAAAAACTATTTATCGCTACAAAATTACAATGGCGTCTATGATGAGCCTGTGGCCACATACACACATCAAAATAATCTGGCAATTTCTAATTAATAAAAATAACGCTGTT